TCTCCAGAGTTCTGGACAAGTTCTGGACTGCTCTCTCCCAGTGAGGAAGGCAGATGCGATGCTGTTAATTTACATCAAATACACTGTAGTCCCACACGTCACCACGACTCTGCCCAATACACATGTGTGAATCTGTGACTTTAAACAAGTTATTTCAAACTCATTACTGTTTYCTAGGGAAAAACACCCAGGACTGTCTATGTCAATGTATTGTTTCTTTCAGATTCTTGTGATCATGGACAATTTTTTAAGAGCTGTAATTGGGACGGGAGGCCAAATGCATGGAAGCACGTGGCAGCAGAGTAGCCTCTGAATAAACTGGTAGCTTGTTTTTCACTGCACCTTATTTCACCTCCCAGTCACATAGAACCATTGGAGGGAGGTGCTACATCACAAGCTTGGATATCAAATACGTATTCTCTTTTATTTGTCAAAGCATTTTTTTTTTTCAGAAATACTCATCACCATTATAGGACACCTTACAGCATTGCAGGTTAAAAAAATATAAAAATCCTGTGTTTGGTAGCAACATGAGCACTAGACCTGATAACACAGAGTAGCTTTTTCCTTTAACCAAGGGCTCCCTTAACACCCGTCTCCTCTCCAGGCAGAGGAAAAGCAGCCGCTGAGGCTGGTTTGGCCTYTTCCACGTGGGCTGCCTGCAGTGAGACTGCTCCGAGCACAGCCGCTTTTCTCAAGGCAATCCTAGTGCTGGAACACTTCTTTATTCTTCTTTTTCCCCAGCTGCTAAGCAAAGAATGAACTCGTAGCTTAGCCCCTCCTTTATTGGAAGGGGAATAGGGTAATACGCTGTAATTGGTTTTCCATGTTTGCCAAGAGTCTGTTTCCTCTTATCATCCACAATATTTAACATAGGCCTTGTAATAGTTCCAAAAATAATAAAATCTGTCCCAAGAATAAAAATGATAGATCCACAACATGCTGCTTTTTTTTGTCACGGTCTTGGTTTTGTAACATTCTGTTAGTAGTTTTTATTGCCTGATGTTGTGGTTTCTTTCATAGGCAGCAGACCCAGTAAAGACATTTCAGCAGCTACTTACACAGCAGCAGCCTGGATTATTTACAAATGGAAATTTCAGTGCCGTAGTAAAATAAATCACCACTCTATACTGTAAAAGTTACATTGCACTAACATAMGGGAAAGAAACCAGCAGACCCTCAYGGGTAGGAACTCTAGGAACACGCAAGTCCTCAGCATGATGTCACCGAAAAAAAAARGRWTWAAAAAAAGAGAGATATCTGAGACTTGTGGGTCTTCCTCTCTTATCTCTTCCCATTCAGTAGTGGAAGAGGAATAGAAAGAGGATACCTGCACATGCAGAACAGCCCACAGGTAATATGGAAACCGAGCCCTGGCAAGACTTTCCCTAYGATTTTGATCATGAACCAGCATAAGTTTGTTCCTCCTTCCTCACTCTCTGTACTGGGCAAATTCCCTTAAGTGTAGGTCCAATTGATGCGGAGCAGGAAAGATGGAGCAGAGCACTTCACTGATGGGATTCCAACCTGAGCGAGAAACCACCAGAACAGACCATGGAAAAGGCAGCAAATGTACAAGGGAGACTTGAGTTGGGAGAAAAACCTATGAAGAGAAGCAATGAGTAGTGACGGAATTATCATTTCAGGTTTCAGGCTTCAGGTGTTATCTACAAAAATAACACCTATAAAAACGTTGTGAAAGGCACAGATGCTTTAATTCAATAAAGAAACTCAATTGAATTTGGTTTAACTGTGACTTAGAGCCCGGTAAGAGGTTTGTATTTCTTCCCACGAATGCACTTGCTGCTCCAACACTCTGAGTTAAACTCATAGGACAGAAACCATTTTCTCAACTTGAAGATATGCAGTTGAGCCTACAACTAATCTGTGCCCTTCTGACACCCCCATGATCTATAAATAATATGGTTGAAGGCTCTTCAACATGTCAACGAAACAAAGAACCAAGTATTGTAAGAAGTCTAATGTAATAGGAAAAGTCTCTGGAGCAAGGAGTGGAGCTCTGCCTACTAGGGAATTGAAAATGTCTCATTATTTTAACTTATCTGTAAATGTTTTGGCAGTCATTTACCTTAAGTCAGTTCCAAGTTCGATTTTGCACATGAATAAATCGGAATGACTGAAGCCAACAAAAACATACATGCATAAGAACCTAGGGAACTTTAATCTTTCCTAAGTGACTGCCAAAAGTCCCGGAGCTTCACTTTTTAAGCAGAAATAAGAGAGACAAGTCTTAAGTCATGCTTAGAGGATCTGTCACTCTGAATTTATTCTTTCATAAGTTAGCTGTGGTTTATGCCGTGCAGTAAGTCAGGATAGCAGGAAACTGCACCTCGATACCACTTTTCAGTGAGGACAGTGGTCTTGTGCTATATGAGCAGCGGTACCAGTTGCTGTAGGACAAGGACTACTCTAATTCCTTGCTTACAAACACGTCACTGGAAGCAACTGGAAGGCAGCATGGAAGCCAGGCAAGTTTAGGCACTCGTCCGCAAGTCAAAGTGAGACTGGTAGCAGAAAAGCCCCGTACAGCACCCTGTACACTGAGTAGTTAAACCCTGCTGCTGGGTTCTGTGCATTATAGTATTGGCACTCTAATGGTACATGATGGGATCACGGCTTCCCGAACGCCACCAAAACGCAGGTATTTCTACCAGATCAGGCTTGCATGAAGCTGGTGGCAGAAGCAGGTCAGAAGGCAAGGAAGGTCCTGCTCCATTCTAGCTCCTCCGGAGGCTTCTCCGCACGTGGAGCACGAGACGGGCACAGGGGCCGCAAGCTGCCGAGAGGAGCGAATCCAGCCCGGACACCAACCGCCCGGGTCCTCCCTCTGCACTCAGCTTCTGCAGCTCCTGCTCTCAACACGACCCGGAGGCTCCAGCCCAGCGCCCAGCTCGCCAAAGCACCACGTGGGGCAGCAGCCGCTCTTCTTTTTCCCCAGAATTGGGGTATAAATTCCCCACTTCTGCTTGCCCATCGGTGATTTCTATAACCAAGAGAAATGTACTCACGTTTCCAAGGCTGCTGAGGCTGCTGCAGAAGGGCAGGCTCCGCTTCCTCCCCTCTCAGCTCTAGTGACCGAGCTCTGCTCCGTCACCGCTTTCAAAAATCTTTACGTGTGGATTCAAGCAGGGAAGCACGTGGCTGTTCTCTCCTTCACGTGGGCACCTCAGGGCTACGAGGCAGTTTTGCCTCAGCACCAATGCAATTTAACTCCACGTTTTTACTGTGATGCAACGCAGTCTATGAACTTCAGCGGAAGCCACAGAAGTGGTTGTGTTTTATATAAGAATATGTTATATAAGAAATRGTTAACAGTTGAAAATTAAGCAAATGCCCAACAGCTTAATCGTTGGAATCAAGTACACTGCGGTGCCTCGGGTGCCCCCTCCAGTGCAAGCTCTGGAGCAGGCAGGGGCACAAGGGGCCCCCCGGGCTTGACCCTCCTCCCCCATGCACAAGCAGAGGGTTCCAATGCACTCTTTAACTTGGATTTAGTCTCAGCACCATTGCCGTGTTACACGGGTCAGACTGCGGTTTCTTCACTGCCAGTGCTAATGTTTTGACAGTAAGAAGGGATGACAGGAAGAATCGTGTCCCCCAACACTGTGCTGGGGTTGGTACTGGGCCCATACAGCAAGTGCTGCAGCCTTTTCCCCCTCCTTAGCGCTACACAAAGCACGCCCGTGCATTAGTGTTCACCTACAGTGATTTACATAAAAAGGAAGAGGTGGAAACTCTCTTTTTCCCCTTCATTGCAGGATGTGTGAYGTGAGGATTCCACACTTTAATGGATGAACCCTTGAACGTGGGGATCTGCTCCGCCCGGCTCCAACCCTTTCACCCGGGGCAGGGCCTCCCCCGCCGCCCCTGCCCACAAGAAGCACCAGAGCGTTTCCAGTTGTGATTTTCATCAGGATTTTCAAACCGGCAGATTTTATTTTCACACCCTCTTCACAATAGACAAGATGCTTACCATATATTTAGGGTTACAAGTTGTCACTAAAAGAAAACTTTACACAAACACTGTACAATTAGGTTGAAAAACTGCCCTTGCATGAAAAATATCCTTAGAAATCAAGTGGTAAACAAGAAAAGAACATTAAAGGTCTAGTAATGTGCCATTTTTATCAACTCCTCCTGTGTTTTTCATTCATACTCTGTTTTTACCTGTAGCATTCATTAAGGCAAACAGCTAATCCATTTCTGAAGAGGTGCTGTGGAAATTGTGGGCAAACAGCAAACATTTGGCATTAAAATAGATAGCATGTATGTAGCCTCTAGTAATATACATTAAGCATTTTCTTGGACTTCAGGATAATGACAGGGGAGGATGAACATGCTAATAATGTCAAAAGGTTTAAAATTTTGCGTCCAAGCAATGTCTAATAATGCTTCTGTAGTTTCAAGCTAAGTAGTAGAGAATTTATGCAAATGCATTAAAGAATTCTAGCTTGGCAAGTACACCCAAGCAGGTTATTAAACTATATATACAGAAAGTGATAAATACAGAATTAAAAGAGTCCTTCTGCTTCTCTTCATAGCCTTCAAAATTGACAAAAAAAAAAAAAAACCTTAAGGACAGCTCTACAATATTAAACATTAGGTAACCACAGGAGCTGGGAAACCTAACTACACAAACTGATTAAAATACTCAGATGCCTTTGTAGTGTTTAATACAGTTCAGTTCGTAGTCAAGGGCACGAGACAACATTTAACCAAAAAAAAAAAAAAAAATCACATCAATTGACCTAGAAATCAAACGTAAAGAGATATGAATACAATCTCCCAAATCTGGCTTTAAGTGAACATTAACCATTTATTCAAAGTCGTACAAGAATCTGGAGGATAAAGTCTTCTTCTGCGAGAGGAGGCCAGCTCGCGGGCTCCGTGTCCCGCGTGGGGCTGCGGCGGCGGGCGGGCGGCAGGGCTGGGCAGGGCCGGGGGGCAGCGCAGGGGGGCGGCCGGGCGGGCAGCGCGCGGGGCTCAGCAGCAGCCCCCGCCCGCCTGCTGGCCGCCCTGGCTGCCCGCGAGCGTCGCGTTGGTGGCCGCGTGCTGGGGGCCGATCTTGATGCCGTTGGCCTGCAACACAGAGCCAGCGGCGCGTCAGGGCCGGGCGGCGGCGGCAGCACCGCCCGAGAGCCCCTCCTCTCGCTCAGGAGGCCAAACACCAACTTCTCCTTTCACACCCAAAGCAAAGCAGAACATTGCTGCTTTTCTTCCTTTTCCTATTTTATTTTTTTTTAAACAATGCCTTTTGGGCAATGCAATACGACTTAAAAGAAAGATGCTTTCTCTCCGCTTCCAATTCCTCTCCACCTTCAAWTCTGTACCTTCAATTCCCAGCCTGAGCACAGGGAGCGGGAATAGCATTTAAACGTCGCTGCAGAGCAGGCTTTAAAACCGCACTAGGTTTTCCAGGAACACATCCCTGCCCGGCCACTAAGGCCTCTGTTAGCTTAGTATAAAACTTCTCCCGCAGCCAGCCCCTYGCGCTGTGTTGAATCAGCTGTACGGGCTAAGGGCACCCGCGCGCTCTGTGTCATCAATAATTTCTATGATCCCGAAAGACGTGGCGACTTGCCAAGAACCCACACACAGCGCAGCTCTTTCATTCATCAAAATCGCACTTGTATCTTAACCCTCACTCCCTCAAGTGGATTTCACCTAAAAATACAGCACTTTGAGAAAAGTAATACAGTAGCTTCTGAAATTAAGCTCTTAAGGAAACTTTGCGTCACAGTAAATCTCAGATTTATAGCGCTTGGCAGTTGTTCTGCAACAGTAGTAGCCTTGGGGTTTCTGGCACTAGCTCCGCATTGACAGCAGCTGATGTGGTTTCTTCTCGCTCTTTGACTCCTCTTTAATAAAAAGCACGCCCCACGGCTCATTGGGTTTGCCCCTCTGGGCTGGTGGCAGCTTCGTGCAGCCCCAGGGAGGCCGCCGTGGCGCGGAGCCAAGGAGCGAGCGGCCTCGCCAGGCCCCGTCACCGCCCGCGTCACACGGCGCTGCCGAGGCGTCTCCCGCAGCCGCAGGAACCCCCTGAAGACAACGTGAAGCTGTCCATCGCTAGGCCGAAGGAAGAGAGCGCTGCGCGAGGCCACTACAGGCGCAGCTTGGCTTGGTCTCCCCAAGCAAAAGCGAGGGGCTCAGGCCCCGTGCAGGAGACCCCTGTTCACGGGGACTCCCCGTGCGCTTTCACCAACCGAGCACCTCAGCAGGGCCGCTCACGGACAYGAGGTTACCAACAGAAGCGACCGGCCACTTCGCACCAGAATCCAAACCTGCCTACGTGGCACTACTTTTTGATGCAAATACTAACAAAATGAGAGTTTACATATACCCACCAGTTTTGCCATTTGGAGCCACTGAATTTCAACCTGCTCTTTCTACGGCCAGAAGTACATCTCCTAACTACTCAAGACTGTCAATGGGACAATCACTTTAAATTTCCAGAGAGCTCATGTTGGTCATTAAACTCATTCACTATAGAAAGGGGCCCTGCATCTCCCCATTCCCCAACGCCCTGCCAAATAACCCAGAGACAGGTCACAATAACCTGCCACTTCAGCAACGTGCACAGGCAAAACGGCTGCTCCGTTATTCCCTACCGAATCCAGCCCCCTAAACCAGAAACCTTTCCAAGGGCTTTTATGCAACTCTCACAGCAGCCCCTCCCCTGCACCGGGCAGCTCACGGAGGGCATCTGGCACATCAACATGGGCCCCCATTTACATAGCGGGAAATTATCTTTGAAAACAGATGACACCATATGGAGAAGTGGATGAAAGTGGATTTTCTTCTCTTTTGGGGATTTATATTATTTTGTGATGCTTCATGGATGGATAGGGTCACTTATTTTAATCCATTTTTATCACAATGGCAGACAATTCTGTATCCAAGTGGAATGGACAATATTTTACACTCCAACTTTGGGGAGAAAAGGCATTTTGTACGTGAAAAAGCATTAACAGCACTGAAAATTACCTCATTATTAATGTCAAAAACTCCTTCCTGGATTTTCTCATAGATCTCCTTTGCAGTGTTTATAAATGCCTGAAATAGAGAGGAAAAGGGGGAAAAAAAAGAGAAAAAATTAGCCAGCAGATACGTTATAGCTGCACGAAGCAGAGCCCATCCTCAGGGGCACTCGTGCCAGCGACCTTGCCAGGGGCAGGTACGAGGGCTCCATCCCACAGCCCACCCTGCAGCAGCAGCAGTGACGCATCCCTCRCTGTGATGCACCTTGCACCTCGCCAAGGTGGCATTTCCCTAACATCTGCACGCYGCAATCTGTTGTCCAGCAATTAGTGGGGAAAAAGTGGTTTTTAAGATATATAAATTACTTTTAAATTATTTATTTGTGACCCTTATGGATAGATTGTGTGGCAGATGGTTTCCCCTACCCTTAATATCTTTGTAATAGGCCACTATAGATTAGAGTGCTTAGCAACATAAAACCACAGGGTACTTACAATGATGATGTAAGGATGCTGTCTGCTGGAGGAAACCTTATGCTATCATTTACTATTCACCTAATGTTAAGAATGCATCCTCTTTAATTGATCTCATACGTGTTAGACAATAGACAGCAGGAGAAAGAAGAGATTTCAAGTGTTTTTTTTTAAATGAATTTAAATGATAGATTTTCAGGAAGAGACTGACTTTCAGCTCTGAAAGAATGAACGATATAAATGGGTTGGTTAAGGTTTACAGGCACCGATTCCATTTCTCAGCTCACGTTGAACGCTCTACGTCACATAATGCCTAAGATAATGTATAATTTAAGAGGTGATTGACATCCGCTAATAATTATAATCAATGCCAAATCTATAGTTCTTCTTGCTTCAAAACACCATTGCCACAGAGCCACATGAGATACGTACCAGCCTCTTCCAGCAAACACAGACCTAATTCAAACATAAAAAAAGCAAACAGGGTTCATGGAGAGGAACACATCATACCTTTCCTCATTTCTACCCTGGAAGCATTTGACTGCTGAACTTGCCACCAGAGCTTTGTTTCCTAATTAACAGGACTGATATGTTTTCACCTTTAAAGGCCTTACAGCTCCCCAGAGTAATCAATCTAGTGCAGCTCAATTACTGCACCAAGCGCAAGCAGAGGCAGCGCCGGAGCCTCGGCCGGCTGCGGCGCGAGCGCCGAGATATGAATATGCATAAACTCTAAGTGGGTGATCGAATCATCACAGAGGGTCAGGAGAATTTGCAGCAAAATAATGAGAAGAATTAATCACTGCAGCTTCGCGAGGCACTTAGGAAGTGAGTTCGTTTTTCAAACCCGCGTTAGAGTTGAGGAGAAGGAATTGGCTTTCGGCCAATTATGGCCTGAGTCCCATTCCTCAGAAATTGAAGTTTTCAATGTACGAAGAAAATGCAAACTTATCTTGGTTTCTGATTACCTGCTAATTATTGTAGCTGCCTCGTACGGGGGACTAATGAAAGGTACAGGTCAAAAACTCTGGGCACCCACACAGCTGGAATCCGTGAAGATACCCGCTCGCTCCCATTCGAGCAGGACATTAAGCAGAGCTTGAAGTCTTAAAAATGTGTTATGATAACTTCGTGTAAACAAGCACTTAACAACTGGCACTTTCTCAATTCTGGAAGGGATTCGCTAAGCATGCCTCGGCTCTTGGAAATAAATGCATAGAAGTTAAATGAGATGCTAAGAATCACTTTAGATCAACAAGACACAATCGGGATTTTATGAGAACACAACCTCCAAACTAACAACTGAACAGAAACTACCTTTGGATGCTACTTTCAAGAACAGATCATTGCGAGAATTCGTCTGCTGCCCCCCCCCCCCCAAAACGCCCTGGAAAGTGCAGGGTGTTGGAGTGTCTCTAAATTATACCTTTCCAACACAGTTATTGCCCAGGTCCTGTAGCTTTCAGCACAAACATTATTCTGCTTTAATATTAAGCATATTGCTTAAGAGATGGTGGATGGGAGAAATGTAAATAGGCTACTTTGCTCATTTCTAATGTTTCTGTTATCTGGAAGACAAAAATCTGACTACCAAATTGCCTTCAGTGACTGTGGTGCAAATACCACCATAAACCCACCACACACTGGTATCCTGCACGGCAAAGCGCCCAGCACCGGTGTTTTGCCCGTTTATTTTCAGCTAACGTTTCAAAGTCTAAGTGGACTTAGAACAAATGCCTAGGAGCCCTACTGAAACACCAATCTAGTCACTTGAAGCATGTTACACACATCAGATTTCAGCATCATACATTAGTCCCTAGTAAGCAAGGACAAGAAGATGAACTCAGTAAAATCATAGGATCACAGAGTGGCTGAGGTTGGAAGGCACCTCTAGAGATCATCTAGTCCAAACCCCCTGCTCCAGCAGGGACACCCAGAGCAYGGGGCACAGGGCGGCTTCCAGGCGGGTTTGGAAAACCTCCAGAGAAGGAGCCTCCACAGCCTCCCTGGGCAGCTCTGTCACTCTCACAGTGAAGAAGTTCTTCCTCACCTGGAGATGAAACTGCCTGTGTTTCAACTTACACCCACTGCCCCTTCTCCTTTCACTGAGAAGAGCTTGGCCCCATCCTCCCTGCATCCCTCCTTCATGTACTTATACATGCTAATCAGATCCCCTCTCAGCCTTCTCTTTTCCAGAAGAAACGGGCCCAGCTCACTCAGTCCCTCCTCATATGGGTGATTCTATTCTATTAAAAAAAAAAAAAAAAAAAAAAAAAAAAAAAAAAAAAAAAAAAAAAAAAAAAAAAAGGACTTTATACGCCACATGTCCCCTCTCTTACCCGGAATGTGTGGATGTGCAGTATCCTATAAGCTCTCAGTCCCTGTGCAGTTTCTCCGGGGTGCAGGCTACGTGGGGCACACACAGGGCCATTGCCCCCCAGCCCGSCCTGAGCCCTGTGCAGCCGGCAGCACCTGGGGCGGCAGCAGCCAGGCGGGCAGCCTGGAGCCCGCGCCAGCGCCTCCCCTTCCCCACAGCTCGACGGGAGCCCCCCGGCTCAGGCTGCCTGCCCACCGGGCGGGCCGTTCCACCTGCACGCTCCGGCCACGCTGCTCCCGCTGGACGCGGGGACACCCGGACAGCTGCAGGTCCATCCACGCGGTGTCTCCAGCTGCACGCAGGCAGTGCCGGATTCAGCCCGCTTTGCGCTCACGCCACCTGAAGGGAAGCAGGGCCCTGCTACACAGCCCGCTGCCCCGAACAGGAARGGCCCTTTTGCAAACACGTACGCTACGTTTCCAACTTTTCCTCATGTGTCATCTAGAAAAAGAAGGCACCAAAACTGTAGAAAAACRTCTACATCTGGCATTTAGCTCTTGATTTTACGCTTCTGAAGCATAAAGGCACCGGTGACTTCTGCTTTAAGAGAGCAGTGCATATAGCATTAGGAAAAGTTGCAAACAAGCTAGCTGGCAGTTTTCACTATTTAACCCACTTCGCTGCTGTGCTCATCTCGCAGCTAGGTTCCCACAGGGGGGTGAGTGCAGCCTGCTGGGCAGYGCTGCACGTCACAGGCAGGGCGAGGGGCCCGCCGGGACCCGGGCCGGACCGGCCCCGGCTGAACTCAGCACAGCWGTTTGCCAGGCGCGGCCCAGCAGTGCCTTTAACGTAGCACCACACCAGATAACCTGCAGTAGGAGCTTCCTAGATGGGAATCGAGAACTACCACAATGTTTACCTCAAAAAAGAAAGGAAGAAAAAAAAAAGAAAGAAAAACCAGGTAGTGCAGGCACTGCATTTAAAATAAATTAATCCTAATACAGTGAACATAAAATGTAATCAACTACCGATACCTATTTTATCATGCCAAATAAACAAGCAGTATAGGCTAACTATCCTTGAGACAAAACCAGTTAGAACCAATTCTATTCCTGGTGAAAACCCCTCAGGAAGTAAGGGAATAAAGCGCTGCTCCCTCTGCCTCACACAGGTTATATGTGGAAAGGGGTCTCATGCTGAAGGCACCAGAACACAAGTCACCAAAACTGCGTTTTCACGTGGCACGGACATGACAAGACAGGCAGGCAGGGCCCTGCACACCCTTCCTTGCCCCATTTGCAAGCCGCAGTCTCATCGCTTCTCCACTCCATAAAGCCACTGCCACCACGAGCGCGTGAGGACTTTGCTACTGCCTGAACACATAGCAAACATGTGAGCGAGGGTGTCCCACACCCTGGTTTTCCCAGTCTGTTTTGGCGTAACACGCAGGGATGCCGGGCTCTGCCTTCCCTGTCCGTGTCCCATGCTGCCCTCCGGCGGCCGCGCTCCGCTCAGCTCCGCTCAGCTCCCCTCAGCTCCCCTCAGCTCCCCTCAGCTCCGCGCGCGCTCAGGGCCGCGTGCCGGGCGGCCGCATCCTGCAGAGCCGACAGCTTCCAAAGCGTCACCCTCACCCCGCAGCTCCGCCAGGGCCTCGGCTCCCTGCGGTACGAAGGATGACACTGAAGGACGAGCCTGGGAGCGCCAGGCGCACGTCCCACGAAGGGGCTCGGGAGCAGCGCCGCGCGGGGACCGGCACCTCCGCGGGGCCTCCTGCTGCTCCGGTAGGCAGATACCTCATCCCTTCCACGCTCTCCAGACYAACCTTGTATTCTGACTGCACATCACGGAGCCCAAAAGCCCTGGGAACTTCCTGGAGAGCAGGGACAAGGTCCAGGGATTTGCCCTGAGGAGATGAGAGCTGTGAGTGCTCAGGAGAGCCCTGCGCCTGCCCCTTCTCTCACGAGCAACATCACCCGCCTCCATCGTGCCCCTGGCTAAAGCATCAGCCCACTGGGTGGCTGAAGGGTTGAGAAACTTCTGCTTCAATAAAGTTTAAACAAATAGTGGCTTTAATACAATCAAAACAAACCTAATTAAAATAAAAAATAACAAAAAAATCCCCAAACTTTCATAAACTAGAAATTCTGCTTTTTCCCAAACTCTGCTCACTGGCACAGTCTGGAGTTCCTCCCACAAAGTCCCTCGGGCTTCCGAACTCAGCTCGGGATCTTTATCTCTTTATTGTCTCACTAAAGGAGTATATTCAGGGGACACAGGGTCAACTGGGGCACCCCACAGAAGACACAAGGCTACACTGCCTTTATGCACATGATTCTATTCTGCCTTACAAGTTTTAGACATTATCAAAAAAAAAAAAAAAAAAAAAAAAAAAAAAAAAA